CCGCCCCTCGCTCAGCCAGTGAGCGGCTGGTCTGTATGTGGGATCCGAACCCTCAGCGGGAGCACCACCACACTTCCCAAGCGGCGCACTATAGAAGTGCGCCACCGGGCCAGCCCCATGATGTTGAGCATTTTTTTCATGTATCTGTTGGCCATTTGTATGTCCTCCTTTGAAAAATGTCTATTCAGCTCCCTTGCCCATATTTTAATTGGGTCTTTTTTTTTTTTTTTTAACTGTATAATTGCTTGATTTCTATGTATATTCTGGATATTAGTGCCTTGTCAGATGCATAGTTGACAAAAATTTTCTCCCACTCTGTAGGTTGTCTTTTCAATCTGTTGATTGTTTCCTTTGCTGTGCAGAAACTTTTTAGTTTGATATAGTCCCATTTGTTTATTTTTTCTTTTGCTGCTTGTGCTTTTGGGCTCATGTTCATAAAGCCTGTGCCCTGACCTAACTGCTGAAGTGTTTCACCTATATTTTCCCTTAGTAATTTTACAAACCAATGTAACTTTGCTACATATTAGTACCTCTTACGAGATAACTAATACAGGGTTGGGAGATCATTCGTGAATTACAACTATCCATCCTACTATGATGAGTAACTAAAAACCAGCTATACTATATCAGTTTATCTTAAATCAAATCCTAGTCAGTCAAGCACACATTCCACCATCTCCAAATCAGAAATGAAAATTTAGCCCAAGAATTCCTAATAGTAAGATATAGTTAGACTGCTGAAAACAAGTAATGAACTATAAAAAAGGAGTAGTGAAAATATTGGTAAGGTTTAAGCTATTCAATGGAAGGAAGAATAGTAACTGATATGCTAATTTTTATATTATTAATTTTTTTAAAAAAACACTTTAAATTAATAGAATTCAAGGACTTAAGTCTAAAGGTAATATTGAGAGAAATGCTTTCTTACTAATTAGCACAAAATGTATTCAGTGAGAGTCTGTGCTAGATGTTAGGGAAATGTCAAGACAAATTAAGTGTGATTCTCACCTCGAGATCTTAAGATTTAATGACTGTTGAGAAATGCACTGTATTTCATCGAATTGAAGCCATCAAGTGTAAGACACTATTATTTTATGTACCATTAAGAAAAATGCTGCCAATTATATAACTGGAAAACACTATTAATTGCATAATGTGTCCAAATTTTAGTGACGTTAAAATAGAAAAAAATATGCTTCTTAGAATCAATGAAATATATTAATTACCATATTTATTGTTCTTTATAATATGGTATTTCCTAATCTAACAAATTTCTGATTATCTCTGGCAGGTTCAAAGAGCTAAAGTAATGCTTGTTGAATGAATAAATGAATGAGTAAACAAACATTTAAGTGTTACAAGGGCTCTGTAAAATAGATTCATTAACATCATTAATGTAGCCTCATCTTTTTCTTTTATCATTATTCATGTATCAACATAAGGGTAATTCAAAAAGTTGGTGGAAAAATAGAATTAAAAGGTAATACGAATTTTTCCATGAACTTTTTTTAAAGACTCCTCCTACATTATAACAAAAACAGAAAGTTGAAAAAGTTTCAACCCAGAATCCCACAACACACACAAAAAATTGTTTTCATGTTCCTGTCCAATTCTTATGCATGCATATCCTTCAAGTTTCCTCAACTTGAAACCAAGTTTTTAAAAATACTCTTTGAGACTACACAATTAAATGACTAAACAAAAATTATATGCATAAAAAACAAGTTTAACAAGGTGAAGCA